CGGGAAGCTGGAGATTCATCTGCCATTCTGCAGGCTCATTTGGGTGCCATTGCTCCGTTTACAAGAGAGTGGATGGAGCCCAATCGAAGTAAGGGGATGTGATTCCTTGACTTCACTTGGGCACGCATGAGGAAGACCCACATTTGCGTAGGCCAGCAGGCCAGCAGGTCCAGACATTCTTGCGATCACAATAGCTTCTCGTCATGGATCGCTTACTGAGGATGACTGGGCAGGGCCATGGACTGTGTGACTGTGGTTTAGACAGCCAAAAGGATTCGTGTTCAAGGCAAGACCCCATGACCCACATTTGGGTGTTTTGCCCATGGGTGAAACCTTCCGATATCAGGTTTTGGTTCTACGTAGGCCGCAAGAGGGCCTGGTGTAGGAATCTTGCGCCAGAGGCCAGATGCCGTTTGCTCGTTGCACTGATGGTTTTAAGCCTTGGACTTGCCAATAGACGTGATTAGGGCCATGCCACATTCGGAGCAACTACTGCATTCATGTCATCAGGACTGTTGTTACGCGTGCATGATTTCAAGGTAGGCAGCTGCATGCGGACAGCAGATGCTGCTTTATTTTAGAGCGCTTATGTTGTACAGTGTGCTGTTTTTTTTGTAGTTTGGAACTGGCTTACCGTTTGTTTGCAATAAATAGTTGTTATTGAAATAGGAGCATGGTTGGCAGCACAGCACAGTCCGGTCTTCCTGTAGGCCAGGCTTCTCTTGCAGACGGCTTGCTGCAGGTACTAAGTTCATTCGACTCCAGCCCGCCACTGCCTTTTGGGCAATGAGTCATGTGCCTGGAATTTGAGTTGCACCTCAATTTCTCTCAACGCGCATTGATACTTTGGGGAGAATCACTCCACAGAAACAGTCTGGACTTTCCTTGAGCCAATCCACTAAGGAATGAGACCTGTTGAAGATACGGCAAGATAGATGATGCGATCCATCGGTCCATCGGAGGTGTTGAGTGAAATACTGGTTTTGCAGAGCCCCTGAAATTGTGTCGGATTAGAGTTGTTTCTTTCTTCAGTTGAGCAGCCATGGCCCCGAACCCAGTGAGCTGGCCGTTGCTGGCCATTCTAAGAGCTGCTAAGTTCCACCAGCCTCTCACCTGCCATGAAAGAGTGGAGGTTCCAGGGCTTTCATGTTAGGGGAGGGTGGCTACCTGGTGTCATGCGGATTATATATGGTGAGGCCTATATTATAAGACTCTGTGAATGGGCAACCATCTTGGTAGAAGCAACAGAAGGTTACTGTCAGCAGCTGTGAACTTGAAAGGAGCCACGATGTTTCAAGTCACGCGCTGTTGTGACTAAAAATGCTCGCTCCAGAGGCCCAGAACATGACTCGAAGTCTTGAGTCTGTTTGTTTCAGGAGTGCAAAGCGAGCTCATCTGCCCTGCTGCAGCGGAGCGGCTTGCTGCCCTCCGCCCGGTCCCCCAAAACAGCGGGCTGTGTGCACTTCAGCACTGAACAGTCAGTTTGTGTTTGGGTCAGGCGCCTGACCCAAGGTGGCAAAGTCGTCCATGGATCGCAAGCTTTGGAAATCGGCCTCCCGACGACAAACCCATCAGCGGTAAGCTGCTGAGTTCAGCTGGGCTCCCTTGGCCCCTACCTCGTTCCCAAGGGCAGACACGTGGGGTGATACGTATGCGCCAGCGTGAAAGCAAGAAACGGCTTGGCAAAGGAACATCCTCATGCTCGAACATTACACAAACAAGTGCACGGTGTCAAGTGTCCCGCACTGATAAGAGTGAGAGACCAGTTGGTAAATGGCATCACGCGCTTTGCATCCCAAATGTCGTACCTTGTTTGTTGGGGAGCTTTGGCTTTCAATGACTATCCGTGCAGCATTGCGGTATATTTGCACTGGTATGCTACCTGAATGGTTGGCGTAGCCAAATTTATGGAAGAGAAACATCGAAAAGTTGACGCGAGAGCAATAACGAGATCAAATCGAGACCGGAAAGAGATCAGTGACTGATTTGGAAAGAAGTTGTCCCGCAGAACTTTGAAGCAGCCCAAGTCTGCTTTGTGTACTGCACTTGTACAGTATGAGATGTTCGAGCAGGAGGTGCCGAATTGTACTTTACATACAAGACTTGTATTGAACAATGGCAGCTTGCGAGCTGGAGATTTTCAAGAACTGCAATTGCCTGTACAGTTTTGAGGGCTGGAACATGACTACTGAGCATGAATTGCTGGTGCTCAGTAAAAATGTGAAATGAACCAGGGTTTCCTTAACGGAAGCCACAAGGGATGGTTTATAGGGGCCATTCCCTCATTCCTTCAGGGCGAATTATTCCCATTAGCCGAAGCGCACAACTGGCGCTGCTCACTTGTCATTGCGTTGGGTCAAGCAAACATCCATTTCACACTCACCAGATACCTAGACTGGCCTCGGTTTGCAGTAGAGCACTTGTTCTCAACTTGGCAGCCGGCAATTACGAGTTGGCGTTCTAAGCTTTCCAGCAATTATGTAGCCTTAGGACATTCAGGGACATTGACGGAAGCAGTTTGAAACCTTCATGTTATCTTGAGATTGCCCAAATGCGTGCTCCAGCCCTTGTAATAATTATCAGGCCAAGCAATGTTGATTTCACCGTCAGTGCACATCAAGGCCTGTCACTGCAACTTGGCAGTCCAGTTGCCATAGTAGCAGGTAACCAAGGCAAAACCATGCACATCCCGAGAAACAAAAGGACAGCTACCGCTCACACTGGCAACTGGAAGTACAGGAGTAGATTGTGAACTGTAAACTCCAGCCAAAGAAGCGAGGATTGCAGTCCCGTGACGATGTTTTCCCAGTGACACCTTAACCATGCGTTTGTGAAAGGAAGTCCAGTATCAGAAAGAGCATTCAGATGTCAATGTGCAGCCGCGGTTTATGTAGCTCACACCGTCGCCGATGGAATTTATGCCTCGATGCTTGCTTCTTGTGCCGACCAAGGCAGCATCGACCTGACGCACACCAGGCCTCCGCATTTCCTATGGCAGCAACGCTTCGCAATATCAATGGTCTGGTTGCACAAAGAGGGGGGTTACCCAACCCCTGTTTTTTTTTTGAACGGCTGCTAGGAGGAGCTCCTGTGCCAAGGCCCAACCCCTGTGGAAAGATGGGTTTTGAGATGGACCCCTGTACTTTGCAGGATGCTTGTGAGCTTGAGCAGCCTTCGGGGAGTGCCCTGCCGAGCTCCCGTCCTTGGAGCTGGGAATTTCAGCCCGTTGAGCTGCACTTGAGAAATCGGCGGACTTTTTCTGTGTGCCTTTTTGACTATACTTGTCACACTTCCTCCAACTGGCTTCGCCGGCTCTAGTTGTTCCCTTGCGATGTTGTTTTCAATGCCGGGTGTTCATTGGCCGAAAAAAAGGGGCATCTGGGGAGTCTAGAGTCTGGTTGCTCTTTCGATGTGAGTTTTACAATCGGCCTGTGACTTCGGCTAGGACCTGGGAAGAGCTACGAGAGACACTGCGGCAGAGCCCGCACCATGTGCTGGCCGAGGCCATCCATACGGCCGAGCCAGCTGAACTGCATTGGCGATAGCGGACGACCAAAATGGAGATGTGGTTTCGTTCTGCTGCAAGTATCGTCCAAAGGGGTCTCCTCCAGTGTTTGAAGCCACCCTGGGTAATTGGAGCTTAGTAGAGAACATTCCAAGCCAGCAAAAATGAAGTGGCCGCTCTTATTCCTTACATTATTTGGGCAGGGTCCTTCGAATCTGGGTTTTGGCGACAGCTCAGCTAGCCCTCACCTATGCCCAGGAAGGATCCATGACATGAGATTGGGACTCATTGGGTGTGCCCGCGGGCAACGCTCGCAGTTGAAAGCACCTAGGTCCTACAGTTCGGCCCGTGTCGCAGGTGGTCATGGCGGTCCTTGCCAGAAATGCAAAATTATTTGTGGAGTTGCACAAATCATTTGGAGACAGACACAAATGTGTCAGCCTGGGATTGATACTCTTCTTCATGGACTCGCACATTTTTGTGACTGTTTCTTCAGATGCGAGCACAGCACATGTTGGCGGGGTGAAGCACGAGGTCCTAGCTGGATACTTTGGCTTCTGACTGGACCTCGATTTCTTTAGGCTTGGAAACAGAAAAACCTGATAGGATTGTTTGCCTTTGATGTCCCCTTTCCAACGCTTTGCATTACGCATCATGAAGCACCGTGACTGTGTGCGAAAAAGGAACACAACACTGTGCTCCCTTCAGTTGTTTCGAATCATGTTGGTTGCCAATTGTTTTTGCGTCCAAAAAGGTGTCCCTAGTTTTGATGCATAGCATGCATAGCCATTTGAGTGTGGGTCAAAATTGAACCACTGGGGGACCGCAGGATTTAGTCCATGTTTTCATTTGCCAGGGTTCCATTTTGGGTACCTTTTTTTGACCCACAGCCATTTAGACTCACTAGGCCTCACGAGATAGCTGTCAGCCAACTCCGCAGGTGCTGCGCGAGCTCCGCGCCCGCGTGGTTTCTGAGAGCCGCGCGATGCGCGAAGAGCGGGTGTGGCAGTTGCTGCGGAAAACGACCGCTGCCCGGTGGATCGGGCGAGTCCTTGTACTTCTGCATGTCTGGACATATATCAGTGGGTCTCCCTAAGTGTGTATAGGAATCTTCGCGGCTGCCAATCTTCCCCGAAAAGTGGCGATTTGTTTTCCTGTCGTGTTTTGGAGTTGTGTTGTTTTTTCTTTGAGCGTTTAGCATCGGTTGTATAGCTACCCCTTGGCCAGCGGTGCGGGTAGCTGTAAATGTTGCCACCACCGTGAAGGGTGTGACAAAGCGAAGGTGACAGTCTGGAATGCGCGAGGCAGCAGGCACATGAATGAACGGGCTCAATGAAGTTTGATCTAACTCTGAAGACCGGAAGGGGAATCCCTTGCAACGATTCATTTCCCCACTGATAGGGAATTCACTCTGATTCACTTGAAATTTGGGTACAGGGACCAAGTCATGTACCCAATGGAAGTATCCTGTGTAGCTTGGAATGCAGCATGCCAGGCTCTACCAACTGCCCATTTTCTGCGTCGATGGCTCCATTGACTTCCGAGGCTGCCAGGAAGCTATCGCCTCGGATGTCAAGCCGAATCCAAGCCGCAAAATGCTTTCAGGGGAATCCGTAGACATGGTAGGTAACATTTAGAAACCCACATTTGAGAATCCCCCGTGGACCTCTAGTTTACTGGTTCCAGGGAAGTCTAAAGATACCCCTTCAAAGGCAAGCCAAAAGCAACGAGTGTCCCCTTTTCGTGGTTTTGAAAGGGGATTGTACACACCACTTGTTGCTTGCCAGTTTCCGCCCAGTGCGAGTTACCACACAACGATGGAAGGCCCGTTGTTTGGTTTGGGCTGCTGCATGATTGAGGATGGTGTGAAGCAATGGGATTTCGACTTCATTGCCTGCTTTAAGAGGCCTGTCATGCCCCACCCGGCTAGCGACAATATGTTGCCGTGCCAAGCATCCGGCCTTGGCAAAGGCGGCGTGACATTGCTCATTCGTCATTGGCTCTATCGCCTCTTCTCACGTCACTCCTCCGTTCCCATCTTCCCTTGCTGTTGGCAATGCCATCTTGCCTTTGGTCCTGTGAAATTATTTCAATTCCTTAACGCCCCATCTACAAGCCCTCAATGGGAACTGGGTGTCTTCGTTCCACATACTCTTCCACTTGGAGGTTTGTTTCAGGCAACCTCGCCTCGTGATCAAGCGTCTTCTCAACACCCAGATGATCCGTGGACCTATCCCTGTCAGCCTCAGGTCACCTTGGTGTCAGCGCCCTGGTCAGCGGTTCTTGGCTTGCTGAAGGCGCATGCCTTATGGGCCAACGACCGGACCTGACTACTTGTATTTATACTAGGGATGGCGATGGACCCGCCAATATGGAGGCTAGACAACCATTATATGATATTATATATAGGAATTCTTGCCAAGAGAACCATGAACATGACTATGACAGTAGGTGCTGCCCCAAGTCAGACGGAGTTCTTGACATCCCTTCTCGAATCGCAAGCAGCTTGTTGAGTCAGCCAGGGATGGCGTTTGCTTCCAATTGTCGCATGGATAATTGTTCGTAACTAAAGTTGGAATCTGGGTATGCTGAGTGCCCAGATGGTTCTTCATTCGGTCTTGGAGCATATTCTTGCAGATTCTCAGAATCAGCTGCCAACATAAATTGGGGAGAAACACAGGAGTTTTGCTGTTCTTGCATTTGTTTGTTTGGTTGGTTGGTTGTTTGTTTCCTCCAGTTTTGTGTCGTTAGTGTTTTGTTTCTCATTACCTATTTCTTTTGTGTTTGCTTCCTTTGGTTATCGTTTCTTTTGTATGTGGTTATCGTTTCTTGTGTATGTGGTTCCTTATTTGGGTAGTTGTTTGTTTCCTTTGTTTCTTTATTTGGCTGTTTTGTGTGTTGTTTGTGGTTTGTTGTGGGTTTCTTTCTTTCGTTCTTTATTTCTTTGGTTATTCATTCGTGTCTGTCTTTTTTTTCTTTCTTGCTTTCTTTCTTTTGTTTGTTCGTTCATTCGTTTGTTATATTTGTTTTGCTTGCTTTTTTCCTTGCTGATTTTGTGTGTGTCCTTTCTGTGTTTTCGCATCGTTTCTCTTGTTAGCGGTTAGTGGTTGTCGATTTGCTTAGGGACTGGGGATTCTGGGCAGGAGAGTTTGCTTCGTTCGGCCTGCGGCAGGTGGACAGCCAGGAGGATGGCCCAGCCATGACAGTACGGAGCCTCTCACAGGCTGGGGACGGGGTGTGCCTTGTGTCATCTATTTTGTGAACATGACACCCGTATCTTGAAGGGTCATTTTTTACTTCATGGGGTCGGACAATTGCCGGAACCTATTTTGTGGCATATCTTGAATTGTCTTTTGTTTCTGAATGGTGTCGGACAATTGCCGGAATGCCTGGAATTGTGAACATCTTTGAATGTGGGTGGGGTCTCCTTATTCCTGTACGCTTTTCTTTTGAGCCCGCCGTCCGTGGTAGTTGTCATTGCATCCTGGGAAACACTCAGAGAGGTGCTTCCAGCCTGGTCGGGTGATTGTCCCAGGCAAAATAGAAACGACTGCCGGACAACCCTCAGATGTGCACATGTGTGTTGGATCAAAATTGAGGGAACGGACCTTCTCTAGTAGTGTAGGAACCCTTTTAAGGGGATCTGTGGTTTTCTCACACAGGAGTCCAAAGGAAAATGCAGGGGCAGGCACCCCTTCATTTGGAGATGTTCTACACTTCCAGGGCCCTTTATCCTGAATCAACAAGGATATCAACCGGTAAACTCAGGGACTGCTCTAGAGGGTGTGAAGGCAACTTCGATTGCTGGTGGCCTGAATTGTGAGAACCATTTCTCAGAACCTGGCTAGTTTACAAGGCTTGTCAGCTTGTTGGTGTTGAAGGTCCTTCATCACTTTACTTGTAACCAGGCGTTTAGTTAGACTATGGTAAACTGAGGGCTTGTGGTGAGACCGGTAGATTGAGATGTGGATGCCAAACATTCCTGAGCACTTTGCCCGAGTACAGCTGTACAGCAAGGTGAAGACAGAGGCACTCTTAGGATGCTGTCATTCAAAGCTATCGCCTGTCGGCTGAGATCTGGGTCGGAAGACAGTCACAGATGTCCGCATTTCCAGTCAGTATCACCTCTTCAGGATATTGCCTTCCATTTTCTTGCGGTGACGTTGATATGTCCCTGTTGCTGCGCGATCACCAGAAACTATGATCTCCTTAGTGGCGCCTGGGTCAAGGTTACGGACTCCACATTTCCGGCTGGGCAAGGTGACAACTGACTTTCCTGCAATTTACAGAAGGCCTTGATAAGAGGGTGAGTGCCGATGACTGCTTGCCAAAAAACCACGCTCCTTTCAGTAAAAGCTTTTGCCGTTTTGGGATGCTCACGCTCACCCTGCAGGCCCTGAGCATGGACGTTCTGTTTGGCGCCATCCTCAGCACGGATTGCGTTGAACATAGCAATATGAGATCAATGGGTATCAGGGCAAGCTTCACAAGGTTTCAACACAACATATGAATCGCATGGGTGTAGGATGTGATCTATCACAAGCAAAGCTAAGCTGCTTGAGAAGAAATATGTGGTGCATGGCTCGTCTTACACCATGGGGTGTAGGCACAAGTCCGCTGGACAGTTGGGAACACTGAGACAACATGCTGGTTGCGGTCCAGAAAGCCATACGCCCATTGGACTCAAACCCCTGACCGTTCGGCCGGAATGCGTTTGAAAAGAAATAAAGAGGAAACCCATGCGCCTACCAAAGCAAACCGGCAGAATCCAAAAGAAAGCCACTGCATTACAGAATCCTTTGGATGATGAGATTGGGCATGCGAATTTTGCATCTTTAACTTGTTTTCACTTACGGGGTTGAAAGGGTAGATGACAAATGAACAAATCCTGCAATGAGCTGACAAGGCGCTGTCCTCTTCTTCCACTGCCATGTGCTATGCCAGGGCGGCCGGCCACGGCCTGAGTTGGCCTGAGTTGGCCTGAGTTGGCCTCTTCGTAAGCTGCTTCACAACGAACACCTGGAAACAAGGCTTTGAAGCAATTAGAGAAGTGAGGGAGTAAGCAACATCCGGACTCAACAAAAGAGCTTGAGGGGTTGTCCAAGTCAGGGATTTGTTTGCTAGCTGGTGAAGACTGTTGCAAAGACTGCGAGAAGGGTTCGGAGCAACCTGCTCCCCATGCCAGGCTGCAATGCTCACCTAGGGAGGTTTGCCGGACACTAGAGGACAAGCGGAGTCGGGGAGCCGTGGAGGTGTTGATGTGTGGACCCCCGTATTTCTTCATACATCAGCCTGACACAACCTTGTGAACACCAGATCGCCCACTCCCTTGGCATGCTGGTTCGATGAATTTTGATCGTTTTGACGGGCCTGAGAGGCACCCTGCGAGGCCGACCACGTGTCCGCAAGTGTCCGCAAATTGACTCAAGACACTTGTTTGTCCTTATTCCAGTGCCTATGCTTTCGGTTTCAACGGGGCGAAAGAGCCTTCGATGCCACACTGGTCCACTAAAGAGTTCAAGCTGGCTGGCATGTGCTATCGCGCGCGGTTGTTTGCAAGTCCGAGCAAGTCCCTAGGCCTTGCAGTAAACAATATCATTCAACTCAGAGATGACATCCTACACTGCGATTGCAAGGGGACTTGATTGAAATGTCAGCATACATTTTACATCGGGTTACTAAACAAGTCTGGAGTCGGCATACATTGTACATGAAGCAAGCAAGAGCACACACACACACACACATTTTACAACTGGGCCGGCTTCCTTCGTTGTGTGTTTGGTTCAAGAGCCTGTCCAGCAAATCACTCCGCAAGCTCGGTCATAGACAACGGAAGCTCTGCGGACGCTGCAAGCCCAACACGTCTCAGGATGTAAGAGGATTGCCGTGACCCCACCCACTTCCCTCCAGGAGAGAAGGGAGGGTTAAAGAGGCAACATTATGTAGTGGTTGTTCTTTTTTCAGGGTAGTGGTTTGGGATTTCCTTTTCGACAGGAGGAAGCTCCGGATGCAGGCGGGTGAACCTGTCCTTTGATGCTCAGCTCAAGCAGAAAGAGGTGTGCTTGGATACGGATTTTAGCTTGGGCACTTGCAGTGTGTCCGGTCCACGTTCACATCCCTCAATCTCCAGCTTGCAATGTGACTGTGGGTCAAAACCAATGGTACCATTTTGGGCTAGGTGCACCGCGCATTTTCGAACCTATTTTAGTGGGGATTGAATCGGATGTTCACTGGGGGTACGATTTGGATTTTGGATTTTGACCCGTGGCCATGTAGCCATGTTGAAGCCAGAGACAAGAAAAACAAATGATCGCGCTGATGTTTCTGACCAGCGTCGACAACCTCTCCGGCACAAAACATTTGCGACAGGCGGACAGGACGCGCGCTCTGAGGCGGGGGATAGCGGGGGATCCTAAAATACGGGCCCCGTAGAATGGTTTTGTTTCCTTTTTGCGTTCTTGTCAAAAGGGACCTCCATTCTTGGGGCGTACCCCAAAATGGAGTACTCAAAATAGAATGGCGCATCATTTGGCCAAGTTGGGCCAAAGGTTTGGCTGCAACCTTAGAGGAGTTCCGCCCGCTTCTTTGGCTTGGAGGCTCAGAGATGGCTCGACATGAGCAGCTGAAGGTCGAGTACACCTGGCAAACGGTTTTTGTTATGCTTGATTGGGTTCTTGCAGCCAGCAGAAGTGTCTTTTTGTTTGCACAAGTGCAGAGGATTGAGTAGCCAGGACTTGCTAAGCAGAATTTCAGGTCTATAGCAGGAGACAAGCAAGAGACTGGGCCCCTTCCAATGCTTCCGCCATGCGGCGACTCTGGGGGGTTCTTCGCAGAGCCAAGGTCACGACTAAGGACAGCCACTGCGACAGACAGCAGTCGGCCGGTGCCCTGATTTAGAACAGGTACCTTCTTGGGAACCAAAACACACTCTCCCAAATAAACGTGTGGGCTTTCTTGCGCAGTTCTCCGGGGATGCAAAAGGACAGCCCTGCTTTAGAACTAACGCCCGGAAGACATGTGTGTTCCAGCACGCTTCTCAGATTCAGAAGCTTCCTCCATGTTGTTAAACTCGGGTCCTATTCTGCCGAAACAAGGCGCCCTTTTTTAGGACAGTGAAGGAAAACAGAAAAAAAAGAAACACAAACTTCACCTTTGGTCCGGGGTTTTCCCACAGCCAGGTAGTTCCCGCAAGCCAGCCGCCAGCCCCAGGTTTTTGTTTTTGTTCCACGGATCCGAGCCGAGCCCGGCTTGGATGTACCGCCATGTCGGCGGGAAGCAGACCTTCTATCCAGAGCCCCGGGGGCCCGAGGAGAGATCGGATCGGCGGAGAGATGTCTCGGAATGCGTTCTGGATAGGGCGTCATCTCAGAGGTTGCTGGGCTTTTTGGGCCACCAGCTCCATTTGCCCCCCCCCCCCAGGGAAAAAAAGAGAAGACAGGAGAGAGAGTGTTTCCAAAATGGGGGCAGGGCCTTTCGGATGATTCTATGATTAATACATATTCAGGAGAACCTAAGGAAACTAACATTCATTTCGTTTTAAGGTGCCCTGACATTGCTGATCCATAGCCTTTCGGAGTAAGCCTGGCATTCGTGCGGATGCGATACAAGTGCACGTGGCGGGATGATCTGAAAGGATGTTTGCAGTAGAAGCTGGGAGACAAGGAACAGGGTCGTTAGCTGGTTCCACGGTTTGTTGTTTGTTTTGGACTTGTGTGGACATATTCAGCGTTTCCCTTCACAAGTGTAGTTGTTTCCCTTGGAGGGATACCAAGCTTCCTGCCAAAGCCATGGCGGCAAAAGGACCATGTTGCCTTCCGATGATTCCATTTGAATTGCAGCAAGAAGTACCTTGCAACTTGCCCTGCAGAAGTGTGTCTTGTGTCTTTGTGTTTGTGTTTGTGTGTGTGTGTGTGTTTGTGTGTGGGATGTGAAGGGCTTTGCTACAGGGCAAAAATCAGAGACTCTCGGTGGGCAAGGCTGGTGGCCCAATGTGAATCTTCGCTGTTTCAACTTCATAACAAAGCATTGCAGGCAATCGGCTTAGGCCGATGATCATTCTGATTTGCACCTTTCAAGTGCGTGCCAGGAGCCGAGAACCCGGGCACGAGCTCGTTTGGAGGTGCCCTTGTCAGAGGAACAGCAGTCCCGCGACTGGGCAAAAGATTTGGAATGCCATTTGTGGTTTGACCTGGCAAAGGAAGATTGATATTCTATGTGTATGGTGGCTCCGGTTCGGATTTGACTTGTTGAGCAGAACACTTATGAATGGCTGCCAAACTTAACTCAAGTCTAGTAGGTTTGCTGCGCAGACATTTGAAAGGACCATGTAGCTCATCTTCCACACCGTTTGTGGAGCTGAACAGAGGACTCCGTCAAGCAAGCAAGGTGCAGCATGAATTCTGGAGCGTTTTTTTTCATCCAGAATTCAGAGCACCAACAAAAAGCAGGAACGTGAGAGGGGCTTGCCATGTGCCGATATTTTTTTGTTGCACCAGTTGCTCTTTGTTTCGGGGATTTCCCGTCATCCCCCATATTCCCTTCGTCCCCCAGTGCCCTTTTACCCCTTTTTTAGGGAGGGTTCCCCGACTAAAAATAGACTGCAGAAAAAAGTTGGTACCCTTCGAACCTCTCAAATCTGGACCCGATGGGCCGATGGGTTTCCATAGCCCAGGCCTGCGGGCATTCCTGGCGCGCTTCGATGCTTGCGGGGGCCTGGAGGCCACGCTGCGGCTGGTGGCTGGAGAGGTGGGATCCAGCTCGCTCAATTTGGTGGGATCCAGTTCGCCCGTCCTCGAACAAACGGAACCCCCCGTTAAAGAAAGGGTTGGAGCGGCTTTGGACATGTGTGAGAGGGACCATAGGGCTTGGCCTGATGCATGCGTTCCCACAGGAAATCACCCGTGCCAGCTCGAGAAGTTCTCATAGAGTTTTTCACGCAAATGACAATGGCATTTGTTCCAAGTTCCCGCCCCCTGTTCCCCACCCGTCTGTGTTTTCTCACCACTGGTAGTTCAGCGGACCGTTTGGGAGTTGTGCTCGGCCAATTCCCTTGGTGAGAGCTTCTACCCGGAACGACCTGTGGATCTGAGGTGCACACCTTCTTCCCCTTCCAGGCCTGCAAGGCCTGTCTCAAAGGGCAACCGAAGAAAACCTATCAGGTAGCAACATGGGGATGTGGTTACTTGGTAGCTCCCAGCCATCCGGGTCCTTAGCTTTTGAGCCCAGTGTTTAGTGGGGATGTCCATTTGACCCACTAAAAGTTAGACAGGTAAAACACTCTTTTCAGACACCCCAATGGAAAATCAACGATGATTGTTTTACTGATGTGCACACATGAATCGTGGGAGATGGTTGTTGAGATGAGTCGAGATGTGCCTTGAAGCGGAATTCGGCAACAACAAAAGTAGAGGGCAAGAAATCTGACACTGTGTAGACACCAGTGCCATTAGACAATCAATATAGGGCAAGCTCCCAAGGACCTTCAACAATGGGGCCACCAAATGCCCAGGCACAGAAAGACCAGTACCCTTACCTTGAAAAGTAGCGATCACTTTATTTGGCAACTTGACGTTCGACATACAGGGGCTCTAAATGGGTTCAGATAATGCAGCAAATTGTGCGCAGTGTTTGGTACGCAACGTACTGCCAATAACATGGTGCGAATGTTGTTGTCCGCTCGGGAAAGACTTTTGATTGTGTTGGGTGTGCGGGCAGATGTGATGTCTATTGGAATGATTTATAAGAAGCAAAGCACTGTATGAGAGCCTGCAAGTGTGTATGTGTGTCCCATTTGGCTTGGTGGCCGAGGCTCCTTTCTCGCGTTTCTGCCTGTTCGCCAAGTATGGCTAGATAGAAACACGCATGTGAGGCCTTCAATGTTTGGTTAGTCAACGCATTTTCTGACGTTTTCGGACCTAGATCCCTTGAATACAGTCCATTCCCATGCGGAGCAATTGAATGTTTAACGCACTCCAAGCATGAACCAGAGGCTTGATAAATGGCTGCTTATGGTCCTATGGTCGTTTCCTTATTGTTGAGGACCACCAACATTTGTGGAGAATGTCACAGACAAAGGACAAGTTCACCATTTAGCACATCGTCTGTTTTAGAACACGACAACTCTGGTGGTGCTGATCGAGACAAGTGGGCCTCAGGTGCTGCAGAGGCTTGCCAAGCGCTTCGGGGCAGCACCCTCCAAGGCGAGGCATGGATAGAAGGCCATACCCTCCTCTTTGATTGCGTCAGGGTATGGTCACTTTTAAAGGGCGCAGTACATGTTGGCAAGCTTTACGTGTTGGGAATTTGAGGCTTCATTTGCAATTTGAACATAGATGTTGGGATGTTGGTTCATACGAATCCAGGTCGATTGAAGAGGTCATTTATCCGCTTTGCCTGGAGACTTGCGAAGCAGCTAGATCCGGCCAGTCCGCGACTCGTGCTGAATCTGCTTACGTGCGGCATGCACGTAGCTATGAAAGAGATCAAGGGCACAGGGGGAAATGCGAGGTGGTAGTGTTGTTGTGCTGATATTCCTATTCCCACTGCGTCGTGAAAATATGTCGGCGAAGCACGGCGACTGAACACATTTGGACAAGTTTGGACGAGAGAAGTGCAGCCCTGACTTCAAGTGTGGCGTTCTACTAAGTACAAAGTGCTGTGGCATTCTTTGCCTAGACATGTCGCCTGTAGAATTACCTCCGCAATCGTTCTTTGGACACTTGTGGTTGCCACGGACTTGGCGATGAATCGTCCAAGAAGCTGCGTGAAGGTATGCTCCGGCATACTGTGAAGATCGCATGCTTTTCGGGATAGCCAGCGACATTGCTTTTCACAGGATCAGCGGCTTCAGATGTTGGCAGCAAGGCTGGGTCTTGGGGGTTGGGCTGGGGCCTGGGGGATGGGCCATCAAAGTCGCAGTGCATCCACCCGCCGCTTTTTTGAGCAACATCCTAATTGGAGCTGGTACATTTCCTCCTTTTCAAAAGCGAGGAGCCCACTGAATCAAAGAGCAGCCCTGTTTCCCGGCCCTGTTTCAGGGGATAGGCAAAAAGTCCCCACCTGTCCGATTGATTTTGTTGAAAGGACGCAAAGGGAAGAAGGGCAGGCCATGGAGTCATGCTGCCATCAAGGCTGCTCCGAGCAGCAACCAGCTGTCTGGGTCACTGACGTGGGTCAGTTCCATGGAGAGATCTTTCTGCGTTTTTCTCGAGAGGCAATGTGAACACCAGGGGAGCAGCTTTTGGGAACCTGGATTCATTTTGTGCTGCTTTCAAAAGGGGTCCCCAAAATGTGACAGTTTTCTGAAACCACCACAGGTAGCCATCCAATTTGGCCCCATCAACGGCAACTATGATGCTGTCCAATCGAATGGATGTTGGCAGATCTCCCTTTC